GGAATGTATTGGAGAGGAGATGTTACCGGCAGCTATCAAACCTGCTTTCCCGGTTTTATATATTCTTTTTTTATACTCGGCCATACCCAGAATCCTCTATCTATCAGCACAAGAAATGATTAATGGAATGGAGAAGAGATAGGAAAGGTTGACTGATGGCCTCGTGTGATGTGATTCCTGTAGCCGAGATCAATTTTCCCCAGCTCAGTGCCTGTTTGATCAGCAGGCCTTCTGCTATGATGCCTCTGGGGAGGTGGGAACAGACACGCATATCGCTTGATTTCAGATTTCTTGGCAGCAATACTAAAATGATTGGCCACTGTCTTCTTCTGGGATATGAGTCCATTTCTCAGTTTACTCTAGACCTGTAATGTTCCCTATTGGTCCTCCCACCCAAGTACTAACCTAGCCCCCATCCTAGAGAAGCCACTTGTTGTCACCTGCCGGTCAGAAGATATAATGCTACTAACAGAAGATAATATTTGTAGCCCATGATTGAACTGTGGGGTCTGTTAAGTCTTGCCGCGCTTGGTTTTACCCAATCGCGGCAACCCCTATGCGAACCAATCAGGATTGCTTTATATTGTCCAATCACGGCCCGGCTCTTCCGGACCAATAGGAATGCAGGCCTACAAGCCTGCTAGTATGGAACAGGGTCCTTGGTGCCCTCTGAGCTTGGTGGTTTTCTTGCAGACATTTCATTACCCAAATAGGTAAAATCATCAGTGCTAGCAGAGAGACTATTATTGTCATAGTGAGGGATCACAATTCGAAAGGGCTGGGGCTGGGGCAAGAAAATAAGGACAATAGGGAAAGGACTAGAAACGTGCTTCCATATTTATATATATATATATGGCTACTATGCACAGTGAATTCTTGCAAGGAGATACATTCAGAATAATATATTTCACTTTCTGAGAGGGTGCACTTTGCCCCAAATATTAATGCATGTAGCTTGACCTTGTTTGAATACTGCAGAACTCAGAACAGGGAATGTGGTTTTATAAGATGACTCTAACTAGTTTGTATTACAGGCAACCAATACCAAACTAGCAGTGCACGGAGCAGAGCCATACAGGTAGTCCTTGACTTACGAGCGCAATATGTTGCTAAGTGATTAATTTGTTAAATGAGTTTCGCCCCATTTTATGGCTTTTCTTGCCACATTTCTTAAGTGAATCACTGCAGTTCTTAAATTAGTTACACGGTTGTTAAGTGAATCTGGCTTTTCCATTGACTTTGTTTGTCATAAGGTCACAAAAGGGGATCACATGACCCCGGGACATTGTAACCGTCATAAATATGAACCAGTTGTCAAGCATCTGAATGTAAATTACATGATCATGAAGATGCTGCAATGATCATAAGCGTGAAAAATAATCATAATTCACTTCTTTCAGTGTCGTAACTTTGAATGATGACTAAATGAGCTGTTGTAAGTCAAAGACTACTTGTACTGGCAAACCACCTCCTTCTCCTCCTCCTCCTCCTCCTCCTCCTCCCCTTACTCAAAACTGTACAGCATTAAAAAAACTAACATTATATTCCTCTTCCACACCATAATACCAGGGGTGGGGGCTGCTGGGGGTTCACAGGGGTTCAGGAGAGCCCCTAGATAAGATTCTGTGCAGTTCGGAGACCCCCCCAAATCCCACTTCTGCCTGGCCCCGCCCACCCTTCCCCTCCCAGGAGTCCCCACGTGGCCCGTTTTGGATGCAGGTAAGCGCAGGGTGCGTGTGAAGGCTTGGGGAGGGCAAAATACGGGCCTCCCGGAAGTTCGGGAAGGCCGGAAATGGACCTGTTCCGGCTTCCAGAGAGCCTCCAGAGCCCAGGGAAGCGATTTTAGCCCTCCCAGAGGGTCGAAGAAAGCCTCCGGAACCCAGAGAGGGCAAAAACGCCCTCCTTCGCCGTGGTGCAGGAGGCCGACTAGGCCACGCCCATCATGGCCACGCCCTCCCAGCAACCGGGCTGAGAACCCTTTGCTAAAAATATTGAAGCCCACCCCTGCATAATATATAAAATAAGGTGATGGGCTGCTGAGATAGGAACAAAATCTAATATATATCTTACCCCCATTTCATCAGACTAATACCTCGTTTTGCTGTGTGTGTTAGAGTTGTCTTCGACCAGGGTGGCTTAGGAGAGTTGTCCAATATTTTGATCGGGGCATAGATTGAGAAAGGTGCTATAACCAGCTCCCTAAAATTAATAGCAAAGTCACATTCAGCTCTTGCTGACTATACAGCAGGACACATCCATGTCATTCTCTTGGCAGTCGTGTAGAAGTTAGTGATTGACTGTGTTCCTCTGGCTTCTCAGGCAACTCGGAAGACTTGGGAATTTGGGGTCTACTTTGCTTCACTCGGCCTCCCCTCAAATCTTCTTCAAACTGACAGTCCAGGTTATCTTGATGAGGAAAGTCGTTGAATCCAGAGCTTGAGGGAGCTCTTGCATTATTAATTCAAGCACGAACACGGGTGGATAGAATTTGCCCTGCAGAGGTCAGAAAAGCTGCACTCTCCCAAATAGCTTCTATGCAATTGCTCAGAGGTGCAGGATCCAAATCAGCCTATTCGATTATAAAAGGAACTAATAAAACGTCCAGCCGCCAGCAGGGAACACTGAGGAACAACTGAAAATCGTGAATTATGTCACTTTATTAGAAATAGGATTCCACAAATACAAAGCTTGAACGGAATGATAGAAATGTAGTGTTTATCCCAATTTTGTGTCCTAGGAAACTTTGTGGGGTATTTTTTTTGGGGGGGAGGGGCGGAATTTCAGACAGAGTAATGAAATCAAGTTGAATAGGGCAGTGAATTGTTAGACTAGGATCCAGGTATGATTATATTTAAACAAGAGAGTGAATATAAATATAGTTCTAGGATTAGAACAAAGGCAGATAATCAGAGGTGTTTATGCTGTTTTACAATATGACACATTTACATGCCCCCTTTGGGGAGGGGGGGGAGTGCCTGTGAGTGAGCGCTGACTCCTGGCAACTGCCTGAACCAGTTTCTGCAGTTTTCTTGGCAAGTTATTTCAGAAGTGGTTTGTCATTGCCTCCTACTTAGGGCTGAGTGAGAGAGACTTGTCCAAGGTTACCCAGGTGGCTTCAGGCTTAAGGTGGGGACTAGAACACATGGCCTCTTGGTTGTGTGCTTGGTGCCTTAACAATTACCCCCAACTGTCTCTCTTCTATGTCACTGCAAAGTTATAATAGTCCTGGCTTCCCCTGGTTTATGCTTTGCTAATGGAAGTAACCAAGACCTCAATAAGGCTTAAGACACGTACACATGCACAAATACACACACACACTTATATGTATGTATATACATTATGCATGCATCCGTGTATGCATGTATTCGTGTATGTATGTATTTCTGCACCGCCTTTCTTAGTTTTGCAACAATCTAAGACAGCAAGCATATCCAATCCCTCCTATTTTTCCAACAACAATCCTATGAGGTGGGTTCAGTTGAGAGTGACTGGCCCAAGATCATCCAGCTGGCTTTCATGGCTAAGGAAGAACTTGAACTCAGTGTCTCCTGCTTTCTAGTCTGGTGTCTTAACTACTGGACCACACTACCTCTCAGTGTTTGTGTGGATGTGTATACATGCATATCTGTCTGTCTGTCTGTCTGTCTGTCTGTCTCTATCTACCTATCATCAACTAACTAACCAACGATCTTTAATTAGCAATCATTCTGCCATCCATCCATCTATATTGAGGGTTACATTCCTTTTTATGGTGCAAAATCTGTATTTTTACTTGCAAAAGCTATTTTGGTCATAGATTTTAAAGATTAAATGAAATAATATACACATTACTGCATGCTGTCTCCAAACTTAACAAACTGAATGGATGGGAATCTATCAGTCAGTGCGATGTTTCTGTGGTGTAGATGATATGCAAAAGATTGATGTTTTCTATTGTAGCATATACGCATGGAAGATGTACACTATGCATTTTGTGCTCAAAATTGCAGTAAGGACAGTGCTTCAAGTTACAGTAGGCTTTGACTCACTTGACTGTGATGAGATATATTTAATACTGTGACCTTGTTCCATAAGAAGATGCTATGTACACCTTCATTTATTATTTAAGCTCTAGGATTGGACTTCAAATCTTTATAATATCCTTCTGAGTTCTGCTATCAAGTTTTCTAGCCCTTTTCATCATCACACCCTTCTTTTTGTAGTCATCAGTGTCACTTCAGAAACAGCTGAGATATGTTGCACAGTTTTTTCCAGAATAAGCATTTTACTAACCCTGAGGTGAGAGCGAGTTGATTCGGGTTAAGTTTAAAAACATTTTGGCTCAGTTACTTCACTGTGACAGAATCTGGGAGTTCTTATGATTCATTTGGGATTTTCCTCTCCTTACGGAAAGAACGGATTCAAACTGCAAGGGAATAAAAAGCATTGTGGTTGACCCTAACAAAATTCTGAGGCCATTCCCTACCTTTTAAATATGGGCAGGTTGGTTTTAGAAAGAGGTGTCAGATTTAAATAGGGAGCCTGCTAAACTTATTCACAGGGATGGATCAATAAAGTACAGATTCAATCAGAATATAGAATAATAGAGTTGGAAGGTACCTTGAAGTTCTTTTAATCCAACCGCTTGCTCAAGCAGGAGACCCTTGTATATACCATTTCAGACAAGTGGCTGTCCAGTCTCTTCTTAAAAGCCTCCAGTGATGAATCCCCCACAATTTCTGAATGCAAGCTGTTCCGTTGGTTTATTGTTCTCACTGTTAAGGAAATTTCTTCTTAGTTCTAGGTTGCTTCTCTCCTTGATTAGTTTCCATCCATTGCCTGCTAGTTATTTACCAATGAAGGAAAAGATTACTGTGTATGCTCTTAAGCCACCTCATGGGTGGGACCCCTCTGGTCTAAGCCTTAATGTGAAATAACTCTGAGCGCAAGTCTAGGGATGGACTCAAATTTAACTTTTCCCCCCCTCTTTCTTTTTTCTCTTACCCGCTTTCTCCTGGCAGAGACCATTCGCACAGCCACCCCCTTTCCCATGGTCAGCCTCTTCCTGGTCTTCACAGCCTTTGTCATTAGCAATATTGGACACATCCGCCCACAGAGAACCATCCTGGCTTTCGTTTCAGGCATCTTCTTCATCCTTTCTGGTAAGGATTCAGAAGCTGGGGCTGTTCTTACTAAGGGAGATTGATTTGCTAGCTCTGAGCCGATTGTAATAGCAGAAACAATTCTGAGTTGAAGACCAAGAGTGGGAATTTACAATGCGAAGATCTTAGCGTAGTGTTTCCAATTTATAAGAAGCGTGGACTTCAACTCCCAGTTGAGTTCAACTTTGAGTTGAGCTCCAAACATCTTAAAGTATCATAGGATTGGAAAGGACCTTGCAGTTCTTCTAGTCTAAGTCCGTGCCAAGGTAGGAGACCTTATACCATCCTCGCCAAAGGGTTGTCTAATATTTTCTTGAAAACCTCCAGTGATGGAGCACCCACAGTGTCCAATAACAAGCTGTTCTATTGACCGATTGTTCTCACTCTCAGAAAAAATTTTCTTCCGTTCCAGATAGACTTTCCTTCTGAAGAGTCCTCAACCAACTGAAAGTTCCCAAGATTGAGAAACACTGATCTATTGCAGGAATCTCCAGACTTGGCAACCAAGACTTGTGGACCAGTTCCCAGAATTCTTTAGCCACCGTGTCACAAGTCTTAAAGTTGCCAAGTTTAGAGAGCCCCAGTGTCATGGGCATTTGGTTTAAAATGGGTGACCTCAAGGAGGCTTCAACGCCACAAAGCAAAACAGATGGTGATCAGTAAGTGGTGTCAGATCCAAGACCGATACAAATACGGAAATCAATAACTTACATTTTAAATATAAAAAAATGAGTAAAAGAGAGGACAGAAACTTTAGATTCTACCCTGGGGTCACATAAACTACTCTAAATGTTTGGTTTTGAACAAAAACATTAGCATGCTAATTTGGTAAATAAATGAGTAAACATCTATGGATAGGATCCAGATTTGCCTTGCCATTAATAAAATGAAAACTAGTTAATATATATGTGTATGTAAATTTATAACATATGCATATGTGTGGGCACATATGGGAATGTGTCAGTGGTGCATTTCAAAAAAAAAAAAATTACCACTGGTTCAGTGGGTGTGGCTTGGTGGGTGCGTTTTGTGCATGTGCGCACGCACCGAACAAGCACTTTGAGCAGGCGCAGAGGCTTTCCGACTCACCTCCTGCAATCCTGCACCACCCCTGATCCCCAACAGGCATCCGAATTTCATTTCTAATATGTGCCAGTATGCTTACAGAAAAAAGTGACAATAAAGGTTATCTTATCTTATCTTCTTAATGGAAGAGGGTTAGGAAATCCTTTCTACTTGTTTAACTTTATGTATGATGCCCATACTCCCTTAAAATCAGCTCCAAGGTCCCAGAGGGAGTATAGGGTCTGCAGACAGGGTAGAAAATCTGTGAAAATCATGCCCTGGGTCGTATTAACTGAGGATTCTAGGAGTTCAAAAGATTCTGGAGGTATTACTCATTTAATAATTGGCCCTGTTTAGTGACTGTTCAAAGTTATGATAGCGCTGGAAAAGTAACATGATTGCGATGATCACAGCATCCCTGGGACCACAGGATTGAGATTTGGGTGCTTGTAATCAATGTCCTGCAGTCACATGATTGCCATTTTGGCGTTCACAGCTGGTTTCTAACAGGGAAGATCAATGTCGAACCTGGCAGTAAAATAATAAGTTATGGTCATGTGATGCCTCACTTAACGACCCTGATGGAAGTGATGACGCAATCTCATTGTGATCACAAGACGTCTTGTTGAACATTCGTGTTGTTTAGCGATGGAACTGCAGATTCCACTGGGGATCATTCAGCAAGATCTACCAATATTTGTGGAAATGCAAGATTTTAGGACTAAGCTCTTAGCCGCTGGTGCATGTTGGGTGTTTGGTGGGAGGAAATTTGCTATTTTTCCTCCCACTGTTATCACGCAACAGTTCATTGTTCATCTTATTTCAAGCTCTGCTGCTTTTGTCGATATAAATCTGAGTTGCAGCATTGCTGTGGGTTGGGAAGATGCTGGTTCATGGGCTTAAACATCTGTCCCACTGGGCTGGTGGAGATGGTAGAAGAAGAGGTTGTCTAATCATCAAGTATCCTGTCTTGGAAGATCTGGATAAGCTTGGATAAGTTTGTACTTATGACAGCTGATCAGTGCACAACAGAGAAGAGTGCACAAGCCATCTCTTGCTTCCTTACTGTCTGATACTTCACAACTCAGCCAATACCTTCTAGCTGTCAGCTCTTGGTTCAAGCTAATGTTGAATATGAATTTAGTGCTTAGCTAGAAGAGCATTAAACCTGTATTCAAAAGCAACCTAAACAATTGACAGGCACAGGGGTGGTGTGGGGATGTTCAACTCTTCTCTACTACCTAGTTGTTCATGCTGAACTTAGTCTCTGGACGGCACCCTATAGAGGGAAGAAATCCCTTTGGGGGGAAAAACAGGATTTCCCCACCACTCCAAGCAGAATTTCCTGGATGACAATGCCTAGAGCCCAAAATATTGAAATTAACCCAGCATCAATTGGCAATTCTGGTGGGCACCAGTTCAGTCCTTCTTATTTCCTCCAGTTCCAGGTCATATTGATTCCTCACACAAACTATTTGGCAGGAATTGCAATCATCAGGAGGGAGGGAGGGAGAGCGGGAGAGAGAGAGAGAGAGAGAGAGAGAAGAAAATGGCTACCGTTTTATTTTAGGATAGCTAGAATCGTTCTTTTAGGTTAGTTGGTTCGTTCTTTTAGGATAGCCAAAACTACAGGAAAAAGAACTGCAATCAGCCTGCCTTCTATAGAAGACCTATATATTGTGCAGGTCAGAAGGAGGGTCGAGAAGATATCTACAGACGCTTCACATCCTGGACATAAACTGTTTCAACTTCTCTCCTCAGGACAGTGCTATATAGGACATTGTATGCCAAAACAACTAGAGTCAGGGATGGTTTTTCCCATCGTGCCCTCACTCCACTGAACACCTAAACCTCACAGTATTATTTTATGTCTAAGTATATTTACCCATTTTGAATGGCTGTATTATTATTATTATTATCCTTCTCATCTTCTCTACTATTCCCTCTTATTGGTATCATATTATGATTATTATTATTCTGTTGCTTTGCATGTACATTGAGAACTTCTGTACTGGAGACAAATTCCTTATATGTCTAATCACACAGCCAAATAAAGTACTATATTCTATTCTTTTCATACGTCTAGGTAACATCTATGCCAGATGCAAGAGGAAAGGGCAAGCAGAAATAAGCAGCATTGCCTCTAGATATCCATGGAGATTCTCATTCAGTCATCCTGGTCATGGTTGTCCCACAGGTGCCTTTTTGGTTGAAAACATTCGCTTCTCATCCAAGTAGCTTCTCCAGTTCTAACTCAGTTCAGTTAGTACTGAAGAAGCTTCTTGGGTGAGAAGCAAAACGTTTTCAAACAAAACAAAAACAAATAAGTTCAGTTGCCTTTTGGGAAAAAAAATATCTGTGGGATATTGCCTCTAGAACTAGCTGGCTGGCACCCCTGAATATGGACCCTAAGACAACAGGACCTAAAGTGTAGCCCTGTGAAGAATGTCAGGAAAGAAGCAGCAAGTTCAAATTGCGCTTCTCTGGCGCAGGAGTACCAAGGGATGCTCAAGATCAGTAGTTTCAAGACATCGCCAGGAGTAATTTTAACACTAACTCTTACAGTGCAATGTTGATATGGAAGAGAAAGTGGTAGAAATCCATAAAACTGCTTCACAAATTTGTCTTGCTGCCCTGCCCTGTCATTGTGCCATCTGTATATGTGTTTCAGTGGTGGGATTCAATTTTTTTTTTACTACCGGTTCTGTGGGCGTGGCTTGGAGGGTATGGTGTGGCTTAGTGGGTGTGGTAGGGGAAGGATACCGCAAAACCCCCATTCCCTCCCCACCCCACTAACCTGCTTTCCAGCTCCGTTCTCCTGTGCAGGGCAACAAAAGAAGACCCAGCCGATCAGCTGGGACTCAATGGGAGGCAGAGAATAGATGGAGGCGGGGCCAGTCAGAGATGGCATTGGCCGGTTCTCTGAACTACTCAAAATTTCCGCTACCGGTTCTCCAGAACTGGTCAGAACCTGCTGAAGACCACCTCTGCTGTGTTTCTATACTACATGCCATCTTGGCCAAGAAATACAACTGAGTTTGAGGCTGTGCAAGAAACAGGAAGCGCCCTTGATTTTCAGTGGCTCTTTGGCCATTTTTTGAGGACAGCATCCAGCCTACAGTTCGGGAGCACCATTGTGATCCAGGGCAAAAGTTATCCTCATTGAGAGGAATATAAATAATGGGGATGGGAGCCGGGAGCATTATCTGCCAAGGATATTAACATAGAATAACAGAGTTGGAAGGGACCTTAGAGGTCATCTAATCCAACTCCCTGCTTGAGCAGGAGAGTCTACTCCAAATATTAGCCTCTACCTAGGCTCAAACTCACAGCCTCCTGATTGTGAGGTGAAAGCTCCACCTCTAGGCCACCACACTTGACTCAATCTTCCCACAAAGCTAAACATGAAAGACCTGTGGTTGGTTAAGGAACAGTTGCAGAGATTGGACCACGACTCAACCCCAAGTGAGGCTTCTACACAAACCACCACCCTTAGACTTAACCTGGAAGTTGGTAGAAGTGAGATAACAGCCCCTTTTAACGTGTTTCTTCTCCAAATCCCAACTTTTGTCTTTTCTGCTCTTCTTCAGGGCTGTCCCTGGTGGTGGGCTTGGTCCTGTACATCTCCAGCATCAATGACGAAGTGATGAACCGTCCCAGTGGCTCGGAGCAGTATTTCCAGTATCGCTATGGATGGTCCTTTGCATTTGCTGCCTCTTCTTTCTTGCTCAAAGAGGTACAGAAGAGAACACAAAACCTTTCGATTCCAGTAGGCACACCACTTGTTGTTAGACTTCTCTTCATATTTTATTGCTGAGTCAAAATGTAATTAGTTTGGTTTGTATGAACACAATGAACTATGTGCCAGGGCATTTGCCATTGTGACTTATAATATTTTCTAAAGTCCCTCACTTTAGCTTGTCCGCACTGTTGTTATATCAGCATACTACTTGGATGATTCTATGCACTATAAGAGAGGGGAAAAGTTCAGTTGTCAAAGTGTGATTTTAAAAAAATCATGGCTCACTGCAATGGGTGTATCCCAGGGGTGGGATTCAAAAATCCCAGAAACCAGTTCGCTGACCAGTTGCTGGGTGGGCTTGGCCATGATGTGCGGTGCCTACCAGAACTTCCTGTTTTTGGCTTCCGGCGGTCCTCCAGAGCCCAAGGGAGGCCATTTTTGCCCTCCCAAGGGTCCAAAGGCCTTCCCCGGGCCTCTGGGAGGACGAAAACAGCCTCCCTCAGCCTCTGGAGGTCCACCAGAAATAGGCCCGTTTTGCGATGTCCAGTTTTTCAGGGAAGGCCATTTTTCACCCTCCTGAGGGTCCAGATGCTTCCCACAGGCCTCCGGGAGGGTGAAATCAGCCTCCCTAGGCCTCTGGATTGTTTCCAGACTTCCAGAAGGCCCATTTTCCACCCTCCCAGAACCTCTGCATGGACCCTGCATTGAAAATGGGCCACGTAGAGACTCCTGGGAGGCGAGGGGTGAAAGGGGCGGGGCCAGCCGATCGGTTGAAATACTGGTTCGGCAAACCAGCGGTAACTTTAACATCCAGTTCACCTGAACCGGTCCAAACTGGTAGAATCCCACCCCTGATGTATCCAGAGTGCCTTAAATAGCACTTTCCAGGCTTAGGGTCAGAGCAGAAGGAATTGCTTGCTTCCTGTACCTACCAGATGGTTGGAAAAGCCTCGTGTGAGGTAGCTGCCAACTATCTCCACATTTGAACTGCAACAAGAAGGATTTCCAATCAGTGCTAGACAGCCTTTTAGAATCTGACCTCTGGACTCTGAAATGAACCCCATGTCTTAAGTCACTCTCTCCTGCCACAGTCACTTTGAGGCCAATGATAGGTCCACAAGCAAGTCTTCACTTGCATCGCACCATTGCATTGTTGTTCCTCTTCTGGCTTGTGGAGCACAACATACAGAGAAAAATGCCTGGTTCATTTCAGGCAAGTTTGTAGCATCCTGGACATTACAGTGGGTAGCTTGTGATGAGATGAAATGAGTTCCTGTTATCCTCAGCTTGTTGTTGTTGTTGTTGTTGTTGTTATTGTTGTTGCTGTTGCCATTCCTTCCGAGAGAAATGGTAGCTATGGAGATACAGGTATTCCTAACTTATGGCCAATTGCTTTGTGACCATTTGAAGTTACAATGCACCACCCCTGGTTCTGAAGTTCTGGCAGCCACTGCTGCATTTTAGGCACTTGACAACTGGACTGTATTTACGGAATCCCATGGTCACTGGCCACATTTTACAATGTTTTTGCCAAAACCCTGGCATTTGCTTCCGGTTTCCAATAAAACTAGCCCATAGGGGGAACCATTGGTTTACTTAATGATTATGATATTCACTTAACAATCACCATAAAAAAGGTTGGAAAATTGGATTGGTCATATGAGCCACTTTAAGATTGCCAGGATTTATGACTAGGATGGGCAGACGCCTTTTAACTTTTAATTTGTACAAACCTGTATTTTTGTTTAATCTTGTAAGTTGATTGCTCAATTTTCCTCAGAGAAAGAATAATACCTTTAAATGCTGAGCCTGATAAGTGCACAGAGAAATGGATGCAGAGTAATTTTTAAAAGTGCAGCCAAAAGTGTTTAAATTGATTTACAAAACTTATGAGGCTGCCTATCTCACATAGCAATCCAAAGTGGCTTATAACAAACAATAGAGGTAGTCCTTGTCTTATGACCACAATTGAGCCCCAAATTTCTGTTGCTAAGTGAGACATTTGCCCCATTTTATGATTTTTCTTGCCACAGTTGGTAAGTGAATCCCTGCAGTTGTTAAGTTAGTAACACGGTTGTTAAGTGAATCCGGCTTCCCTATTGATTTCTCTTGTCAGAAGGTTGCAGAAGGTGATCATGTGATCCTGGGACATTGCAACCATCATAAATACGAACCAGTTGCCAAGCATCTGAATTTTGATCCCATGACCACGGGGATGCTGCAATGGTCATGTCATTTTTTTTCAGTGCCATTGTAACTTTGAACAGTCACTAAATAAATGGTTGGAAGTTGAAGACTACCTATAAAAGTAACAAAGTAAAATAGAGCAAATACTAGCCCAATGTTTGGAAGAACAAAATAACAGAGTTAGAGGGGACCTTGAAAAGTAAAGGTAAAGTTTCCCCTCGCACATACGTGCTAGTCATTTCCGGCTCTAGGGGTCAGTGCTCACCTCCGTTACAAAGCCGAAGAGCCAGCGCTGTCCAAAGACGTCTCCGTGGCCATGTGGCCGGCATGACTAAATGCCGAGGGCACACGGAACGCTGTTACCTTCCCACCAAAGTGGTCCCTATTTTTCTACTTGCATTTTTACATGCTTTTGAACTGCTAGGTTGGCAGAAGCTGGGACAAGTAACGGGAGCTCACTCCATTACGCGGTGCTAGGAATTCGAACCGCCAAACTGCCAACCTTTCTGATCGACAAACTCAGCGTCTTAGCCACTGAGCCACCGTGTCCCTTGTAGAAGGGACCTTGGAGGTCTTTTAATCTAACCCTTGCTTGAGCAGGAAACCTTAGGTATCATTTCAGACAAATGGTTGCCCAATCTCTTCTTAAAAACCTCCGGTGTTGCAGCAACTACAACTTCTAAAGGCAAGCTCTTCCGCTGATTAATTTTTCTAACTGTCTGATTTGGTCCAAGGGCTAATCAATAAATAAACAGTAAAATAATATTCTGACAGTAAATTTCTCCTTAGTTCCAGGTTGTTTTTCTCCTTGATTAGATTCTATCCATTGCTTCTTGTCCTGCCCTCAGATGCTTTGGAGAATAGCTTGACTCCTGTCTTATCTGTGGCAGCCCCTTAAATATTAGGAAAGAGCCAGGTCTTCTTACAGGGATTCCTGGAATGAATTTCAAGTAGGAGACTGTTCCAAAAGCCTGGAGCAGATCTAGGGAAGGTGCACTTTTGAGGTCCCGTCAGGTGACAGCATCTAAAGGAAGGGAACTAGAGCATATCCACCCTGATTAACCTAGTGCTGTGATGGCGAACCTATGGCACACGTGCTCAAAGTGGCACGCGAAGCCATGTTGCCTGGCACACACGGCCTTGCCTGTTTGTCTTCCGGGTTTCTGGCTAGCTGATTGTCAGGTGCCCATGCGCGCTAGAACCTGGAAGTTCAGTTTTTCCGGAGCGTGGTCCTGACAAGTGTATGTGTGCGTGACATTTCCGTATGATCTTTTTGGCACTCGGTGCCGAAAAGGTTCGCCATCACTGACCTAGTGGGACAGGCAGATACTCGCAGGGATAAGTGGTTCTGCAGATGACCTGGCCCTGTGCTACATAGAGCTTTAAGGTTGATCACCGGCACCTTGAATTGCACCTGAAAAACAACTTGTAGGCAGGGCAGCTCACACAGCAATACTGTATGAGTAATCCTCAACTTACGGCCACTCATGAAGTTACAGTGGCATTGAAAACGGTTACTTATGACCAATCCTTATAATTAAGACCATTTCAACATCCCCATCGTTACATGATCCACAGGACTACCTGTAGCCTGTAACATGGATGAACCGCAGGGCATCCAGAAATATACAGATCACTGCATTATGGTCTAGATGCAGCTTCCAGATAGTCTTCAAGGGTAGCCCCATATAGAGCGCATTGCAGTCATTGAATGATGTAACTTAAGGCATGAGTGACAGAGGAAGGAAATGAAGAAATGTATTTCAAAAAGGCATATATGTCTGACAGTGGGAATCCGCGGTGGTCGCAATAATTTCGATGTTTTAAGAAAGGAAACTGGGAGGTTTTCACTGCTGATTGATTTGATTCTTGAGTGACTTGATTTGATACCTTCAATTTCTGTTATTGGTGAGGAAAGCTGCCAAATTTCATACCACAAAATATGTCAGTTTTTGCCTATCCCAGTTATTCCTGTTCAAACCAAAGCAAATAAAAAGAAGAAAAACTATGTTTTGAGCACCAAAAGATATTGATATCATCTGGATATTTCCTTCAAACTGTATGAACTTTGAGCATTAAAATGTTAGCTTGAAAATTATTAGCGAGATTTTTTTTAAAAAAAAGGTTTAGCACAAAATGAGGACAATGTTAGAACTTTATTTCTAAGGATGGTTTCATAGAGTGAATCCTTTTGCCCCCTACTGGTTAAATACAGATAGTCCTCGACTTACGACCCCAATGAAGCCTAAAATTTCTGTTGCGAAGTGAGATGGTTGTTAAATGAATTTTGCTCCATTTATGACCTTTACTGCCCTATTTATTAAGTGAATCATTGCAGTTGTTAAGTTAGTAACCCAGTTGTTAAGTGAATCTGGCTTTCCCGTTGACTTTGCTTTTAAGAAGGTCACAAAAGAGGATCATATGACCCCCAGGACACAGTAACTGTCGTAAATATGAATCAATTGTCAAATATATGAATCTTAATCACTTGACCATGTGGGGGCTGTCATAACAGCTGTAAGTGTGAAAACTTGTCATAAGTCACTTTTTTCTGTGCTATTGTAATTATTGTAAGCTGTAAGCCGAGGACTACCTATACCAGGGCTGTCAAACTCCCAGCCTGTGGGCTGATGCGTCATGCGCTGGCCATGCCCACGCCCGGTTTAGCAAAGGGGGCAAAAAATCCTAACACGTCATGGAACACCACCGTGACAACACGAGTTTGACATCCCCTGACCTATACAAATCTTGGGTTTTTGCATTGATGTTTATGGGCATCAGGGTGTTTAAAATGTGAACAAGGAGATCACCTTTGCAGAAAATAACATGGTCCTTTATGTCCCGATTTCTGTGTCCCTCATTCTTCTTTTTCAGAGGAAGGGTAGTACAGCTACTCTTATGACCAGTCATGACTGATTGTTCACGGTTTCAATGGGCCTTCTGGGTTGGGGGTAAGATCTGGTTTTGAAGTTCTGACAGCTGTCCGTCCCCCTGTTATCACGTGACTGCATGTTGGGTACTCAATCACTGGCCAATATTCATGGCCACTCATAGCATCCTGTGGTCACATGACCATATTTTGCAATGTCTTTGCCAAAAACTGGCATGTTACATCTGACTTTCAGCAAAACTAGCCCATGGAAAACTACTGGTTCAATTAATGACTGCAGTGTTTACTTAACGACTGCTGCAGAAAAGATCATAAAATCTGGCCAGTCATGTGGGTAACCCATTTTACGGCCAGCATGATTTAAGACCATGATGGGTAGACTCCTATTACAGTCCTAAATTGAGGACCTCTTGTAATCCTCTACAAAGGCAGGCAATCCAAGAACGAGGGTCCCAAAGGTGCTTTTTCAGGAGGAAACTGTACTTTCTTGTTTTTTCTTTGAAGACATTTCGCTTCTCATCCAAGAAGCTTCTTCAGCTCTGACTGGATGGTGTAGAAGGGAAGGATTTATATTCCTTGCAGACAACTGGTTATTTGATGAACCATCAGAACCACTCAGGTGACCTGGTCCCTGAGGATACAGATAAACCTCCAAGTGGGCTCAATGACCCTCTAAAAGGATGCAAATGACCAGCTGTCTCCAAGGAGTATAAATCCTTCCATTCCACACCATCCAGTCAGAGCTGAAGAAGCTTCTTGGATGAGAAGCAAAATATCCTCAAAGAAATATCAAGAAAGTCCAGTTGCCTCCTGAAAAAGCACCTTTGGGACCCATCATGATGACTGAGAATCTTTATAAACCCAAGAACAAGTGCCATGCTGACGTCTGTTTGTTTTATTGCACTAATTTTGCAAGACTCCATTCCGTTTCTCCCATAGAACAAGTTAAGCTGATTGCTTGGAATACCTTTTTTTTTTTTTTTTGCATTTCAAGGGGGTTGGAAAAGTCAGGGTTGTCTTCACAAGGATGTCTCAGGCTTAAAGGAGTCTTCTGCCTGACACCGTCTGCTGTAATCTCTCTTCTTAATGCTACTTTATGTCTCCCAGAGGCTGCCTGTGTAGGACAAATTATGTTCATTACAGAAAAATCATATTCTGACAATTTTCCTCTTTGGCCAAACAATGTCCTTATCTTGTCCCCACCCATTAAGTCATTGTTAGCTGTACAGTAGCTGTAACAGTAGCTTCCCTCTTGTTCCAAAAGCATCCAGCAATAGTACCTTTAAGGCATACAAGACAAGCCATGACCCATTGGGTCATCCTTTCAAAAATGTTCCCTTACCTAAAGAGAGAAACAGAATGACCACAGGCAGGCAAAACAACAGAGGGAGCAGAACGACCTCTGGCTTCTTGCCGACTTCCCCATTAAGCTTCCTTGTGGGAAGCTGTCAGGGAGCATTGGAAATAACGATCGCACAATTTCTTTCTCTATATTCTATTTCCCTTCCCCCCTTTTTTCTCTGCCCTTTTTAAATCTTAATTTTTAATGCATTTCTTTATTTCGCAGTTGCATCATATAGTCTTTAATAAAACTATTGGGGGGGGGAGAAAACCACGATCACATGATCACAACTAACCGCAGCGCTGCCGTGGCGGCTTTAACTTTGTAAATACATCTAGACTAAGACAATAAAAGAATAACACAGTTGGAAGGGACCTTAGAGGTCTTCTAGTCTAACCACCTGCTCACACAGGAAACCCTATATACCATTTCAGACAATCTCTTCTTAAAACCTTCCAGTGTTGGAGCATTTACAACTTCTGGAGGCAGGTCGTTCCACTGATTAATTGTTCTAACTGTCAGGAAATTTATCTTTAGTTTTCAGTTGGATCTCTCCTTGATTAGTTTCCACCCATGGCTTCTCGTCCTGCCCTCAGGTGCTTTGGAGAATAGCCTGACTCCCTCTTCTTTGGGGCAGACCCTCAGATATTGGAAGACTGCTATCATGTCACACCCTGTCCTTCTTTTCATTAAACAACACATAACCAATCCCAGCAACTATTCTTTATAACTTTTAGACTCCAGTCCCCTAACTAGTGTGAATATCTTTGAAATTTTAATTATGTGGGAGTAATGAGTCTTGGATTTTGTACTTAAGTTAGCAGATTTGGGGCACCCGGATTCAAAAATGTTTGCACTATGAAGCATCGTTCAGGCTAATTAAAGGTTACAGACAAACAGGAGAATTTTAACAGTATATAGGAAGTCCTCAACTTATGATCATAATTAAGCTCAAAATTTCTGTTGCTAAGTGAGACAGGTGTTAAGTGAGTCCCCCCCCCCATTTAATGACCTCTCTTGCCACAATTAAATTAGAAACACGGTTGTTAAGTGAATCTGGTTTCCCCCATTGACTTTGTTTGTCAGAAGGTCGCAAAAGGTGATCACATGACTCTGGGACACTGCAACCGTCATAAATATGAGTCAGTTGCCAAGCGTCTGAATTTTGATTCACGTGACCATGGGAATGCCGCAAGGGTCGTATATGTGAAAAATGGCCATAAGTCATTTTTTTCCAGTGCTGTTGTAACTTTGAATGATTTACTAAACGAATGGTTGTAAGTCAAGGACTACCTGTGTAGATAACATCTATTCATTACCCATTACCTTGAAGGCAGAACCTGCTGACCTGTTATGGGGGATGATCATAAGTATGTTTTGCTAATGTTGGCAAAGCCCACTTGTTCACTCTAGTCACAACAGTGGCCATATCTGTCCCTCTTTTCATACATTTTACTTCCAACCTTCCTTCCCCCTGCACACACAAACACACACACACACACACACACACACACTTATTTTTTCTGATACCAGAGTGTCTCCAGGCTTCAAACAAGATAGAAGAGAGGTCAGCATAACCCTGCCGTTTCATTTCAGGGAGAAGAAAAATAATTTTCACTACTTTTAACAGTATTCTGAAAGATATATTTACTATAAGATGCAGCACTTCTTGTTCTGACCCAAACCTTGTTCCAAGGAAACAAACACGAAACAGAGGTAACAGCAAAATCTTTTAATGATTCTTTACGAATTCCGTTCCTTCACAGTTAAAAGGCTGTTTTAAACTAATTGTCTCTAATAAGAACGAGCCTTGCCAAATTGTGCAAGGCTGCCAAGAACACTAGATAAAATTGCTAAGAAATATTTCAAACACAAAGAGTCTCCAAACATCAACATCATATTCCGAATGTCCAGCAGGCTTGAATGCAAAAACTTCTTTGCTTCCTGCAAAGAACCCCGGTTTCTCAGCTGGCTTTTATCTCATAAGGGAGGGGCCATTACCTTGCAGCCTTACTCCCGAGTCGCCCGTGCTGCTGCAGCTGCTCTTTCCTTCGAGCAGCCCTGCGCACACGTGCACTGAGCACAGGCTCCTCAGGGACCTCTTCATTTCTGTTGCCAGCCTCCACAATCTCTGAAGGCAGCATTCCACTCCCTGATGGTCCTGGCTCCATCCCTGCATCATACGCAGGCCCCTCATCTGAGTCCTTGTCCTCCGAGACCTCAGCCGTCCACACCTGCTGCCGGCAAACCACAACATTTCTGCTTCTTCTCCATATAATGTCCAATAATGAAGGATGCTGAACTGCCCTTTGTTGCTTCTTTGCCAGTTTCCTTCAACCGGTCTGTTTCAATCACTTCTCAATGCCCACCTCCCACATGCACACACACCAACCTGCTCAAAGAATGATTGCTTTAGGAACTAACCACCATCAGTTCTGTTCCTCAGGATCTAGTGATTTGCACAATCATGGCAGAATCTGCCCTGGGGCTCTTTCTGCTTGTTGTCTTCCCACGTAGTTCTTCATTTCATACTATTTTAACTTGAGAGATCCCCAACGGAGTGAGAGGAGGAGATCCAACCTAGAGCTGCCAATGAGAGTCCAGTAAGGCAGACCAGACTAAGGAACAAATACAAAATAAAACCTAAAACTAATTTTATTAGAACAACTATAAAAACAGGATCTTGCAAGTCTCAGTGTGCTTCTCTGAGAAATATTATTATTATTAGTGGTTGGTCACACTGTCAATCAGGTGTTTTAACAGGAATTGCATTTTTATCCACCTACCAAGTCCTTCCCGAGGACCTGGGAGAGGCAGACAACCATCATTTAGTGGCTGTTTGAAGTTACAGCAGCACCGAAAAAGGTGACTTATGACCAGTCCTCACACTTACAACCATTATAGCACCCTCACACAGTCACAGGATCAAAATTGAGGTACTTGGCAACCAGCATGCATTTATGATGGTTTCAGCATCCCAAGGCTGCATGATCATTCTCCCATCATAGCTCTCCCATCTGAAGGTGTCCTATTCAGAGTTACTAATATTGGTGGTGCCTATCTGGTATTGTGCCTTGCACGATGGCTGACTGTTGCATCTTTTTATAGAATAGAATTAGAATAGAATAGAATAGAATAGAATAGAATAGAACAGAACAGAACAGAACAGAACAGAACAGAACAGAATAGAATAGAATAGAATAGAATAGAATAGAATAGAATAGAATTCTTTATTGGCCAAGTGTGATTGGACACACAAGGAATTTATCTTCGGTGCATATGCTCTCAGTGTACATAAAATTTATAAGTGATAAATCATGATCATAGTCATCATAAAAATATATTCATCATAAATCATAAGATACAACGCTTAGTGATAGTCATAGGATACTAAATAAGCAATCAACATAAATCAAGCAATAAAGTAGAAGTCATAAGTAGAAAAGGAGGAAGGTAATAGGAAAGATGAGAAGAATAATAGTAATACATCCTTACTAAATAATTTGACAGTGTTGATTGACATTTGTGTCCTAATTTCGACCCTTCCTTCTGTCACTACTCTGCAGGGTGCAGGTGTGATGTCCGTCTACCTCTTCACCAAACGTTACGCCGAAGAGGAAATGTATCGCCCGCACCCAGCCTTCTACCGTCCACGCCTGAGCGACTGTTCTGATTACTCAGGCCAGTTCTTGCACCCTGAAGTGTGGCACCGTGGGCGCAGCCCCTCTGACATCTCCAGTGATGTTTCCATCCAGATGACTCAGAACTACCCACCAGCCATCAAGTACCCTGAACATATGCACATATCAACATCACCTTGCTAGACCTGCCACAGAACATGGTGGACAAGGAGCCTGGCCTTTGCTTGTAGACTACATTGTCCAACCCACCCACCCCAACTTCCCCTGAGGCTACCCTACTAATGGGGACCTCTTTC